CCAGAAGGTATTCTCATCCATGCAGGCCTGGACTGCAGCTTCGTCTTCAGGTATGTCTATTGCTCAGTGGCAATATCTAGAGGAAAGGGATTGAAAATTATTTGGAATTTTTTCAACAGGCATATAGCCCTACTCAATTATTGCACAAAACTTCCTTCATTCTATAATTGTGAATTAATGCAATCATCAGATACTCCCGTCAAAGAATGCAGACTTATAATTGGTCTAATGTAGCTAATCAGTCTGTTAGCAGACAAAGCATGTAAGCAATTTGCCAACCATCTTTATTCTATAGACGTTGTTTGACTTTGATTTCACAATCTGGTCATATTGCCTGGACGACCTAGAGGAACACACTTTGTCCGGAGCCCATAGTATGCACGCTAATTACCAGATTGGTGCTAATAATGACATTGCTCACTGACGATGCCGGCGAAAAGTCTGGGAATGTACGAAGTCCAAGGTACGACTGGAAATTACCATGCCAACTATGTACTCCGAACAAGATGCGTTTCTCTAGGTCGTCCTGACAACATGACCAAGTTGCAAAGTCAAGGCCATACAACTTATATACAATAAAATGAGGCCGCGACCATACTAAAGGCCACACCATCTTGGTCTTCATGACTTCCATTTGTATTATACTAAATTTTCCATAAGTTATGTCTGTCTGGAGGAGACTACTGTATACTCTTACTTTGAGGCGTAAAAGGGCGTTTAACTTGGGAGGCTAACACATTATATTAGGCTAATCTTGTTATGAAAGTCAACGGCTCAAGAACCGTCTGGTCTTGCAATATTGTGTAGGCATTTGAACCCAAACATTTTACATTGAATTCTATTATGCTCAAGTTTGGTCAGAAATGCAGTTGATTATAGTTTGGATTAAAATACAGTTGACTACAGCCTCGCTTCTTCTGTACAGCTGCCCAACCAGTAAGGTGTGTCGTGGAAACGTTTGAAGAGAAACCGAGTGACGAACCTAGAGCCCGTTTGGAAGACTTAGTACAACTGAAGCTGCAGGCCGGGAAAGAGCGCATTGAATTGATACGCCGGTTGAAGCGCCTGCAAATGAACAACACGACTAAACGCAACCAAGGCAAGTGAAACATTTCAGTTAACTAGTCTGGCACACCCAGCGTAGCTTTTGATGAAAAAAGCCCATGCCTCGAGGTGGTAAGAGTACTACTTCTTTTAAATCTTTCTCACTTTGCTTATTTCACTCAGTTTTAATCAAACGCGTGTTTGTGTTTTGATACAAGACGGCGTCCAGTAGCTTTATTTTGTATTTAAGTTGATTCCATCAATCTGGAGGTAAAAGTAGAAAGCATTTAAATTTTAACAATCCTAGTAATATTTAATAGGAGTCGCTTTAAGACCATCAAGCACGACAAGTACCATAATTATTTTAATCGGCGGTCTACTTTCTTAGTACAGTAGTTGTTTGACCGTGTTTTTGCAACTTGGAATTTTGGCAAGAAGACCTAGAACGATGCAAATTGTTAGAGGCCCTTAACATGTATGATAATTTCCAGAGTCGGACCATGGACGTTTCGCCGGCATCGTCATTAAGCTTTGCCTTTATTACCACCATACTACAACTCGTCAAAGAGACAAATGAAGTCATTCCTTTGACCAATTGTCTGCTAAACAGTTGTGGTATATTCGTCTGTTGTGTTCCTAAAAAGGGTATGGACTGTCTCTAAAATAGAAAACACCTGCTCTCTACATCTCCAAAGATGGAGACCCCGAATCGAAGAGAGAAAAGGGACAAATAGTATTACCAATTGTCCTATTTTGAAACGGCCTAATACAATATTGGGGAGCTGACAAAAGAACGACAATCATTGAAAGCTGGTATCAAATAGAACAGTCTAAACCCCGTGGGCCACGGTCGAGTGACCGATTTAAACAAAATGTTGGCTACTTGATATACCCCTGCATACTTTTCAATGTCAACTTCTGATTCAACGTTGCAGGGCCGAGCTTTAATTGGGCGAAGCGAAATAAAGAGTCAAGATTAGTCACGCACTCACGTGATCTCTGCGCCAAAGAAAGTTGAGCCATGGCTACGTAAGGGATGTAACACAATTAAACCTTGAATGGGAAAAGCGTGGGGATAGGTCACTACACGTCTATCGTATATCCTCATAACACTCCTTCATTATCACAAGTCCTTTAGGATTTAGTGAGGCCTATTCAAGGAACTGCAGGATCAGTAAAAAAAGGAAATATTTTCAATTTGATGGGAAAAAATCGCAAGGATACCACAGAGGAACAATAAAAAAACCAACAAGAGACGTCTGCAATGAGCCTAATCAAAGTTATTTAAACAACTATAACATTTTGGATTAGACACACACGAGACTAAGGCATAGATAAGTCATTATGGATAGAAGAGCGAGAGATGCGGTGAAGATCATTTATAGTTGGCTATTAATAGATGTGTTTTATCATAGTCCTGGCTGCACCATCTTGGTCTTCATACCTTTCATTTAAATATGGAGTTAAGATTGCCAAACAACGATTACAGCCGAACAAAGAAGACAATTATAAGCCAATAATGACATTTGACCTTTTAGAATTGTTACACATATTATATCAAGTTATGTAACCTTATGAGGAAGTGTCATGTGGACACAGTTACTGAAATACCTTATCACGCCTTCAATCAGAAATTAGAGGAACTTTACGAGACTGGGAGGTATAAGCCATTTAAGTTCACATATATTAAGTCTAGATTCAGAAAGGATCTAGGAAGGGCTCTTATTCCAGAAGATTTAAAAAAATTCCAGAATATGACTGACCATAAGTCACAGATGGTCGAGGGTTTGATTAACAGGAGGCATGACAAGAAGCTGCTTGAATTTGGGATATTGAGGCAGCGCAAGATTCATCCAACCCGACAAAATCATCATATTCCGGTATTGACGACAGCCATTGCTCCCAAGAACAATAAATAAAAGTTAGTGATTCCGAAACCATGGATCTCCTGAAGAAGGGGTTAACCTTTTCACTAGACAACAAGGGAAGATTTAATAAGATATTCTTGTATAGGCTGTGAGCATCTCGAAAAAATACTGAGAAGACACCAAACGGGAGAAAGAAATTGAATTAATCCCGAGAATCATGGCCCCTCAAGAGCCAATAAGAAGAATAGGATTGACGAAATACGCATAAAATGACAAAGGAATGTCCAAATAGTTGTTCAGGCTAATAAGGGAAGAGCGAAGGTGATACGAATAAATGGAAAGTATCCTAGGCGGCTGGAACACTTAGAAATACTATGAAAGGATCCAACAATGAAGAGCAACGGAATACATAAGGAAATGCTAAAATAAAGGCATAAAATCGAAGAAATCAACATATATAAATATATATATGTGATGATTTCTTTAATTTAATAACAACGCAAGACCACCCACAACCTACGGACTACCGAAGGTACACAAGTAAGGTAAACTATGTAAGTTAATACTCAACAACAAACATGGAGCAACACACAAACTAGCGATGTTTATATGCGTGAAGGTCAAGAAAATAAACTGCAGATTTGTGAATACAGTGAAGAACTTATATGCATTTTCTTAAAGAATCCCAAACATTCGACTGGTAGGGACGAGAATGTTGGTAAATTTTGACGTACAATCCATGTACACAAATATCTTGGTCAAAAAGGCGGTAAGAGCCCTGGTGAAAATCTCAGAGCGAAAAGTGGATATCTTGGAAGTAGGGCGGATACGGAATGAGTCGTTAACACTACTGGTCAACCTGACAGTAAGTACCACATATTTTATATTTAACTGCAATATCTCTGGACGTATAGTTGGGCCGACACTGGGATATCCACTCTCACCTTTTTTGGCAAATGTTTTCATGAGCAACTTGGAAAGGAATTCGTAAAGTCACCGCTTCAACCCAAAATGTTTATACGATACCTTGATGACTACTTTGCACTTTGGTTACAACGAACATGTTCTGCAGGTCTTCTAATAATTGTAAAACTTTTTTCGTTTTTACGCGAGACTGGCTTTTGATACTACCAATAAATTGTGAATAAGAAATCTGTTCACCCTATTTCTTTGACGGTGATGGAGAGCTGATAGTTGAATTTCCCCACAATCAAATGAGTAAACCTCATATTTCCACTGAATTACTAAAAATGTATTTTCGTCAAGGCAGGAGTGGACTCAGCTTTGGCCTTACCTGTCCTGTGACCCAATGCCACTCGCCGGGTCCGAGTCCCGTTGGGGATGATGACAACAGGCGGGGTCGAAACTACAGTTCACTTCAGCCTGGATGAGTAAACCGTTGAAAAACTATGCTATGTGAAATTCAATTGAAACGGTAGGTCTGCCCATATGACTGTGGCAAAATTCAACCCTCAGTCCTTCATGCCCTAAAAAAAATAGGGTGGACACAGTTCTTAATTGTCTAGTTTTTCAAGCCCATTATTTTTGCTGGCTTGCCCAGACAGCCTACTTGGCGGAACGCCTCCTGAGGCAGACTTCACTTAACCTTATTTGAGGACTGTGCGGCATTGGATACGAATATAGAAAATAAAGCGAAAAAATAATTTCGGAAAGTTCATCATAGAAAGCCCTAATAATGCGGCCATAATCTTCATTATCTTCCCCTCAAATTCGCTGCTTCTAAGCAAGTCATGTAATTTATTTGGATACATTCCAGAATAAAGCATCAATTGATTTACACTCATTTAGAGTATAACAATACAAAATATTTAGAAATTGCAAACGAAACGATATTACTTCGCTTTCATATGAATCACCATGTATACATTTGGCATACTTCACAACTCCCTGCTACACTTTAGAAACAGTGTTTAGAATACAACGCTGTTGATATAGGAACGATGCTCGGAGCATTGACGACATCATAAACAAGTTGCTACGGGAAAGGTGAGATTCTGAGAACTTCGAATTCCCTCTTCTGCAACAGCGTAGACTCAGCTTCACAAACATTTTATTATGCCCTCTCTTTGAAGAGCCTTTTCCTGAATATAAGCCTTGAAATGCTAGGCCCGTGATGGGCTAATTTGAAGTGTTTCAAAACACAATACCAAAATGCAGCATCAGACTGCGCCCTTGGGACAGATTAACATTCATTTCCGTGAAGTCAACTCACACCAAGTCGGTGCGTAATGCTGGCACGAACCACTTCATAGTTGATATTGTCCCCAGATAGTTTTAGCCAAGCATACTTTCAGTGGCCACTTTCTCCTCAGGGCCGCAGAACAGAATGGCAACACTATCATCTTGGCTACGCCGACCCTGGATTGGGGACTCAAGTTCAACGATGCCACCAGACTGGTTAGGGCAATCTTCTCCTATGAGATCTCAAATGTTGCATAACGGAAGTCATAGAAACCATCAGCCCATATATGCTCGTTTGAAAGTTTCAGGCTCTCTTGTGGAGCCAGATTCAGCAGGCAGATGTATCAGGAGTATAATACAGAACTTATCGTTTGTGTTAATCTATTTTCAGACTAAACAGCTTCGATTTACTATCCCGCTTGTCAATCCAGCTGTTCATGATCCTACGCTCTTCCTTTCTATTAGTTCACATCCGAACATTCTACCCAGTATAGCCGGAATGACAGTTGATAGAGCGACAAAGTCATGGAGGTCTTGCTAACTTGTTTCCAGAGACTTTCCGATTAATTGAAGCTCAGAATCAAGCCTCCATGCCCGACCTTACTTCTTAGTTTTTGATGCGTTACTCGAGTAAACTCTTATTTTCAATTCGCCCTCCATCTTTTAGTCTGTATACTTTCTACACATTACATAATTCATGGCTGATACGGAACATATCAAATTTCATCTTTTGAAAGAAGCTGCCAAAACATTTATGTGGATAATTAGTTTACAAGAAAACTATTGGTGCCTGGAATTTCTCCTGACTACACACACTCATAATCAATGCCGTTGGGAATATTGTACATTCACAGTGAAATCGCCCATTTTCTCAGCCCTAGTCTCGACTGGAACATCAGCGAAAGGAAGATTAGGCGCGATATGCAATTTGCGCTAGTGGCTTCTATTTGCAAAATGTATAAATGCCAGAGGGCAGAGGCGTGGATGGAGCCTAACCACTTTGGCCAGATAATGTACAAAAACTAAATTAAAAGTGAAGCCAAAATACAATTAATAAGCATTATTTTTGCGCACAAAAGTCGATACTCACACTATTTTAGTTGTATAAATTCCCTATTTACCATGACCAACGGATTAATATGGCCTGTTTGACAGAAGCAATATGGAAGTCCGAGTTCATTTCAGTAAAATTCATCATTCCACGACTTCACTTAACCGACTTTAGAGATAGGAAAAGCATATTTGCCAGTTTTTTGTAAACTCATCTTCACAAGCTGAGCTTTTCGAGCGTATTCATACTCTTTGGTTGGTATCCTCTTCTGATACTTTCAACACCATGGATTAGTTACGAAGCCTATTGCCATGCTGACGTTAACATCTTCTTAGCATAAATTAGCTTACTGAAATAACTTTTATATTAACACTTTCGTGTTGCTAACATTTTGCACTTTTACGCCATCCTTGCCCACCTTTACCAACT